ACAGGTCAGGGACCCTGGAGAGTTTGGGGGATGGTGGCTTGGTAAAAAAAGGTGTATAGAAAAAATTAGAAAGGCAGGCAGACACCAGGTGCATGATGATTTACAGTTAGGGTGGATCATGTATTTCCACATGTAATTTCATCACCTCCTCCCAAAACCCTGCTGAAACTACTATGAAATTGTTTTTGAAAGGATTGGAAGGACAGGATTGGATAAAAAGGATCACAAACACGGCAAAGAAGGCAGCAGCTACATTTTAGATGCTGAAAAGCAAATGGTGTGTATTAACCAGATTGGTAGTGGTGTTGTAACTTTCTGTGTGGGTAGACAAGCATTGTAATTTGTCCCATGTACAACTGAAGATCACAGGGGTTAGTACTATGCCAGTTAACAAGAGGCCACAAACTAGGACAGAATCATGAGTCCTTCGTGGGAAAGACAAAAACAACCTGATTCCACCCCACCCAGCAAAACGTTCAAAGAGTAACTTGGGAAGTGGAGGTAAAGGGGGTGGTTGTGGTCACCAAAATAATAAGACTTTAAAAACCTTTTAGAAGATACATTATTTTTCAAATTGCCTTTTGCAGTCAATACCAGGGGCAGGTCGAGGGAAGGCAGGGCAGCTGCATCTCCTCTGCCCTGACACAAGCCTGTAGTGCTTTTCCTTGCAGAGAGTAAAGCAGAGGGCCTTCACACGGAAAGTTCCCAAACCCAGTTGAGACCGGAGTCCTGTACTGATAACGGTACAGTGGAGGTTATGTGGAGGTATGTATATGTCATGAAAGCTGTAAATCCCCAGCCTTGTTCCTTGGCTCTGCGCCTAGTAATTCTAGCAGCTAGCAGAGTCTTTTGTGCACCATCTGACCAACCCAAGAGAAACAGACACAAGGGCACCAACACTGATGTTTCTCCAATAAAGGGTCTAGCCATGTTACTCTCATTACAATGAGGTGCATGGTTTGAAACTGTGGGGGAGGGCCTGGCGGCGTGGCCTAGTGGCTAAAGTCCTCGCCTTGAACGCACCGGGATCCTATATGGGCACGGGTTCTAATCCTGGCAGCTCCACTTCCCATCCAGCTCCCTGCTTGTGGCCTGGGAAAGCAGTCGAGGACGGCCCAAAGCTTTGGGACCCTGCACCCGTGTGGGAGACTCAGAAGAGGCTCCTGGCTCCTGGCTTCGGATCAGCATAGCATTGGCTGTTGAGCTCACTTGGTGAGTGAATCACCGGACAGAAGATCTCTGTCTCTCCTCCTCTCTGTGTATCTGACTTTGTAATAAATAAATAAATCTTAAAAAAAAAAAAAAAGAAACTGTGAGGGAGGGGCTGGCGCAATGGCTCAACTGGCTAATATTCCACCTCTAAGCGCAGCATCCCATATGGGCACTGGCTTCAGCTGTGGTGGCCATTTAGGAAGTGAAACAGTCGATGGATGATCTTTCTGTCTTTCCTCCTCTGTGAACATCTACCTTTCCAATAAAAATAAATCTTTAAAAAATAAAAATAAAGAAATTGCCAAGGAAGACACCCACCTGGTTGAGAGTATTTATTTTTATGCACGGGGAGACCTGAATCATTACTTACTAAAAGGAACAAATCCAGACACGTAGAGGGAAGAGTTGAACAATCTTGGAGAGAAAAGGCAATTGCTAGAGTGAGGCACCTAGCGAGCCAGGATAGGGTGAAATCCACAGCACAACCACAGCCCCATTCAAGGATGGGATTAATAGAAATGGGATTTGATTGAAGACCCAATTCCATCCACTCTTAGTTTTGCAGCAATCATATCTGGTGCAGGGTACTGTCTATTGTCCGTGCATCCATGCACTCATACACTCAACATTTGGAGGAGGACCAATTATGGTGTTCCAGGTCCCATACTGGGTGCCAGAAATACTGAGATAAATCACTCACGGTTTAAGTCCTCAAGGAGCTCACAGTCATGGGGCAAAGGCAGGCCTATAACACAGGGTGATAAGTGCTGTGTGAAAACTGATCACTGGGTCTGTTGGAACAAAGAGGAATCATATACATGGGACTACAGGGAATTAGGTAGGTATGGGAAAGGCCATAGAACAGGACATAGCCTGCTTTGTGGGTTCATGGGCACAGATATCATTCATTCAACAGATCTGATGTACAAATGTTTCATGAACTTAGGAGATCTTTGAGTTAAAACTAAGAAGATGCCTAAGGTTTATTTCGACTTGGAGTGATGCCAGGGTTGGAGGGTGTCCACTCACAGGTAGAAATCAGTGCAAAGACACAGAGGCAGAAATTTACCAGAGAACATGTTCATGGAGGAAGAAGAGGTCCCAGATGAGAAGAGCATGCAAGGCAAGCAGTGGGAGGTGCAATTGGGATGCAGGAATAGGATGCAATGTAAAACTGTCACTGAAGCAAGTTTTTTTTGTTTGTTTTTGTTTTTAATGCAGCTAGGTTGAACTAACAGACTATGTAAAGAACACCAGATGGTGGAAAGAGAAACTTGGTTCCATTCCAGGCCCACCTCTGCCACAAACTCGCCCTTGGTATGATGTGTGGCAATGCAATTAATGTCTCTGGACACTGGTTTCTTCATCCGCCAACCAGTAGCAACAATCCCTTCCCTGCCTATCTCTCGTTGTGAGCAGCACAAGATTCAGTGCACAGGATAATGCCTTGTAACAAATTTTTAAAGTGATAGTGCACAAGTTAAGGCTGAGGAAACACAAATGCTGGGAACATATCATCAACAGGACATCCAAGGAAACAAATGTAAGGAAATAGTCTCCTATGAGAATCTAACAAGTATCCCAAATTCATTGTTACATAACAAGCTTTGGACCAACTTCTATCAATTTGGAATGTCTACATATATAATGTATATATAACAAAATAGTTTGGTACTATTCTTGGAGCCTACTGGTGTTGATTGTAAAATAGCACTGTTCTTTTCTAAATTAACAGTTTAAAAAAGTTGACAAAAATAAAAGCATTCCAGTTTCCGGTAGTTCTTCATTAACCCACAGACATCATCTGACCACTCTGCTCTACACCGAGGCAGACACAGTGCGAGTCAGATGAGCAAAATTTCTGTCCTCAAGATCTTCCCCTGCTGTGGGAGACAGATACATTAGGTGCTCAGGATAAAGGTACCTAAACCAGTTTAGCAGCTGAGATTATACAAGGGTACTTCTAAAACCTTGTGAAAAAACAAAACAAAACAATGTAGCAGTAAGCTTATTGTGCTACCAAGGAGAGAGAAATCCATGCATAGATTTTCATGACATGCACTCTCCATAAACTTTTGAAGACTTCCACGCTTCCCTGCACTAGTATCAGGTAGCACCATTGCTCGGATTTTACAAATCAGGGAACTTAGACTTAGAAAGCCAGTGACAGAGCTGGGACTCAAACCTAGGCCTTTTAAGTCTGGATCCGAGGCTTTTTCTATCTTACCAGAGCTACCTCTTTTGCTTTATAAATGCATTAGGCCTAATCGACATGACAGAAGATAGATAAGTAGCATCGTGTGCCTCTATCTATCCTAGACTGCCTGTTCCCTTTTAGGGATTCACAGGATATGAGGGTTAGAGCACCTCTACATATCCAAAGCACAGTATTTCAGATGAAAAAAAAAAGAAATTAAAATGTTCCCCTTTTGACAGTTCTTTGGGGTTCCAGAAGTTTGTATCTCCATGTGCACGTTTGTGTGTCTACATAGGACTTGGAGTAGGATGTGTTGGAAAATGTTGGTTCCTGCATTTTTTTTCAGACTTATTTATTTTTATTGCAAAGTCAGATATACAGAGAGGAGGAGAGACAGAGAGGAAGATCTTCCATCCACTGGTTCACTCCCCAAGTGGCCAAAATGGCCAGAGCTGAGCCAATCCGAAGCCAGGGCTTCTTCCAGGTCTCCTACGTGGTGCTGGGTCCCAAGACTTTGGGCCGTGCTTGACTGCTTTCCCAAACTGCAACCAGGGAGCTAGATGAGGAGTGGAGCAGCTGGGATACATACCAATGCCCATATGGGATCCTGATGTGTGTAAGGCAAGGGCTTCAGCCACTAGGCTACTGTGCCAGGCCCTCTTCTCTCCTTCTAAAGATTACTTATTTTAAAGGTGAAGGGTCAGAGAGGGAGAGCCAGAGCCAGAAAGAGATCTCCCACCCTGTAGTTCACTTCCCTAAGGGCCACAATGGCAAGGGCTAGGCCAGGCCTAAACTAGAAGCCTGAAACTCCACCTACTTCTCCCACATGGGTGACAGTGACTCAAGCACTTTGGTCATCTAACACTGCTTTCCCAGGAGCATTAGCAGGGAGCTGGATCAGAGGTGGATCAGGCACCTCAATATGGGATCCCTGAGTCCCAAGTGACAGCTTAACTCTCTGTGACACAATGCCAGCCTCTTTTTCTCACTTCTTGTATCCTGTTATTCGCTTAAGCATTTTCGGAGTGTGGACTGTGTGTTAGGTATTTCCTGTGTCATATTTTGATAGATACAAAATTGAAAGGCACAGTCCCTCCACTCATATGGCTCATCATCTTTTGCAATGGCTTTTAAAAAATATATATTTATTTATTTATTGGAAAGTCAGATATACAGAGAGGAGGAGAGACAGAGAAGAAGATCTTCCGTCTGATGATTCACTCACCAAGTGAGCTCAACAGCCGATGCTGTGCCAATCCGAAGCCAGGAGCCAGGAACTTCTTCCGGGTCTCCCACACGGGTGCAGGGTCCCAAAGCTTTGGGCCGTCCTCGACTGCTTTCCCAGGCCACAGGCAGGGAGCTGGATGGGAAGTGGAGCTGCCAGGATTAGAACCCGTGCCCATATAGGATCCCGGTGCGTTCAAGGCGAGGACTTTAGCCGCTAGGCCATGCCACCGGACCCTGCAATGGCTTTTAATGGAGTTGCACATATAATCACTTGAGACTGTAAGCATGCACGCACGCACACACACGTACCCCCTAATACCACCAAGATTCTAAATTTAACGGGAAGGGAAACAAAGAGTCTGAAAATCTTTCTGTATTTTATTGTAAAACCTGGAGACTGAAAGGAATCCACAGCATTGGGCAGTGCTCCATAGACCTATGAAGATGTAAGGATTTCTCCTAGACAGGTTAGTTCCTCACGCTCCAAGCTGAGGGTGGGTGTGACGGGAAGAGGTGAGATCTCTATCATTCCCCAGAGGGGTGGGGAACCTTAGCGCTGTTGCCCAGCAACAATGTCAAGGGCAGAAGTAGACAGATTTCAGAGGCATGTTGGGACTAACTCCACTGGTCTCAGTGTTTAATTACCTGTAAGAGAGAGGCTGAGGGAGAGACAGGTTCCAAGAGACAACCAGGCACTGACTTGGTCAACTGGCCACACGAGGAAAATTAGGAGAGAGCTTGGAGAGAAGATGCTGTTCTTGCCCTTGGCTCTATCTCTGTGTCAACTTTCAGCCTAGAGGATGCATTTTGCCAGAGCCCCACGTTTGAGAGCAGGGTTCTGTTCTGCAGAGTACCGATGCTCATTCTCAAAATGAGACAAGAACCAAGCTGACGTAACAAGTGGAGCTACAAGCCCTGGGGATGTGGGCCACCACCTCGTTGCTGGGGAACAGGGACGCCTGCCTTGCCTATCCTCACGGGAGCTCAGTGCATCAGAGGCCACGCCACGATTCTGCACAGTTGGGCAAATCGCAAGCTCTAGGGCAGATAGCCTATGCCCGCTCCGGAGAGACCCGCAACTGTGCGGAAGTGTGAAGCCGGACCAGACTAGCAGTGTCACTGGAACTTCTGCCACAGACGCGCCTGCTTTGTGAAAGATCGCCCTAGACTCGTGGCCCACGTGCCCTACACTGCCACACCGCACGTTTCCAAAGAAGGCCGGCATCCCCGAGCTGACAGACAGCTAACTACCTAGCTGTGCTTCTGGACAAATAGGCAAGGGAGGTAGTCACGTCTTCTGGAGGAGGCAAGTCTGCGCCGTGAGGCGGGAGTCCTCAATGAACAGCTTGGGCGCGCAACAGCTGGGCGGCAAGGGACAAGCAGGCCTCCGGCGCCAGAGCTCCGAAGCAGCCGGGACGAAGGCAATCTGGCGGTCTCAGAGACCTCGAAGGGCGCTAAGAAATGAAGGGCCACGAGGACACTATGGAGCTTGAGGCTTACACATTCGGGCAGAGCTGTGCAGAGCGGGATCCTGCTTATGGAATGAAGACAGAGCACGAGTCTGTGTGCGGCCGAGGGCAGCGAGGGGAGGTGGTAAAAGGGGCACTCCCGCTCGGAGAAGGCAGAAGGCACCCACGTGGGATTCTGTCAGATGCCTGCCTTTGCCCTTCGCGCTGCCTGCGGAAACAGGCTTCGGGATGAGGCCAAGCGGATTCTCCCAGCGGCAGAAGGGGCCACTCAGGGTGTCTTCACGCCCCCTCCCCGCCCCAGCGCCGCGCGCCAGAGAGGATGGATGCGGATGGATGCGGATGGATGCGTGGGGCTGGCCTGAAGTCACTCGGTGGGGGGCGGGGAGCATCAGATGCCCTGTCCCGAGGGGGAGATGGTCTCTTGCAGAAGGAGGTGAAGGAGGTGGTTCTGCTCGGCGGTCAGCAGCGGCCACATCTCCACCTGCAGCGACTTGACAGCCTCCGTGTCCTTTTCGTGGGTGGCCATGACCAGGGACTGGAGCAGCAGGAAGAGCTCCTCGGGAAGCGGCCCGCCGCTCTCCTGCCCGTGGCTGTCAAAGGCCTCCCAGGAGTACTTCTCCAGGGTCTGAGCGTGCTCAGGCAGCAGCTTGGCGGGTGGTGGCTGCAGGAGCAGCAGCAGCAGCACGCGAGACACCTCACAGCGGACCAGCACGTCGGAGAAGGCGCCCAGTGCGGCGGGAGGGGGCACCGTGGGGCCCGCGTTGGAGGCGAACAGCGCGGCGGGCAGGGCGGGCTGCTGGAGCCCCGGGGGAGGCGGCGGCGGCGGCGGCAGCGGCGGCGGCTGCGCCGGGTGGGTGCCATGCTCCCGCGCCAGGCACTGCATGCGCGTGAAGACCGCTAGGGCGCCGTTGTAGTCCCGCGCCAGCAGCTGGCAGGAGGCGGCATCGCCGAGCGCCTGCAGCGCGGCCAGGGGCAGCTGGGGCAGCTGGAGCTGGGCGGCGCGCTGGAAGTGTCCGGCGGCGGCGGCCGGCTGGCCCAGGTCGCGCAGGGCGGCCGCCAGCTCGAGGCAAAGGGCGGCGGCAGCGGCCGGCTGGCCCAGCTCCAGGTGCAGGCGGACGGCGGCGCCGAGGGCGCTGGCGGCGGCCTGCAGCGGCTCCCCGTAGGCGGCGGGGCAGCCGAGGCGCTGGCGCGCGTCGCACTCCTGCCGCAGGAAGAGGCGGGCGGCCTCGGTGAGGGCCAGCGCCTCCCCGGGCCCGTGGAACAGCGCCTGCTGGCAGCGCGCCACCGCCAGCTGGCACCAGGCCGCGTACGGGAGGCACTCCTGGGCGCGGAGCTCGCGGCCCAGCTGCCCGAACTGCTCGCCGGCTTCCGCCACGTTGGGCTTGCGCAGGAACCGCTTCTTCAGCTTGTTGGACACCAGCCGGTAACGGGCCAGGAAGTCCGAGGCCTCGGGCCCCGCGCCGGCACCACCGCCCAGGCCCGCCGCGGCCGCCGCCATCTTGGCCGCCCTCGGCCCTTCCCAGCGTGCTGACGCAGCGGCCCGATTCGCCGGCGCCGGCGCCGCGGCTCTGCACCGCCCGGGGCCCAGCCTCCTGGGCCCACGCCCCGCGCCGGCCTGCCCCTGCGGTGGACAAGCCGAGGCCGAGGGCGGGAGCGGAGGCGGGCCTGGCGAGGGCGGGCCTACCGGCCCCGCCGCGTCCAGGGATGGGGCGGCACCTAGCCGAGCGCCCGCGCGCCCGCTCTCCCTGCGCCAACCCGGGGCGCCCGGCCGGCTCACTCGGCGCCCTCACGGCGCCCCGGCGCGTGCGCCCCCGGACGCCATCCGGACCGGACTGCTGTCCGTTCCGCGAGGGCGCGGGGGTGGCCTGTCCCTGCCCCCGCCCACAGTCCGCTCGCTGGTTCCCTCTCGGCTTGGAGCCCGGGCCCACCGTCGGCTACGTCCACCTCTGCCCGCCCACGCAGTCCTTCGTCGCCTCCCGCTGCCTCCGGCCGGCACCTCGGTCCAGGTCCTGAGCTGCCTGCCCGGGGAGGCCCCTGCCCTGGGCACTGCCCCAAGCAGGCTGCGCCTTGCCCCGGGCAGACGTCTTCCGTATCTGGACCCTGTGCACAGCACCTCCCACCCCGAGACGCCGCCCGCTACCCAGCACTCCAGGCTGGCCACACACTCGCTCAGACCCAGGGCCGTCCCAACTCCTTACGCCCCTCCCACCCTTATACACCGTCCCAGGGAGAGGGGCAGCCCTCGCTGCCCTGGCCAGCATGCCTCCAGGCCCTCCCTGCCCTGCCCTGCCCCACGCCCCCATGCTGATTTCCCTGGCACCCGCCCGCCCCCTCCCTGGCCCGGTTGGACGGCCACAACACAGCGTCACTGAGGCAGGCCCAGGGCTGCTTCAACCATTTAATATTGGGGCGCTCTGGAGGCCAGGGATGGCCTGGCTGGCTGTGAGAGAGGGGACCCTCGCGGGGCGAGGCAGGAGAGGCAGGTGGACGGGGGGCCAGGCCCCTGGGCGATCAGGGTGCGGCAGCTACCGGGAGCCCCGGGCCAGGGCCACTTGGGAGATGGTTGTGGTACCGAAGAGCCCGCTGAGCACGGGGTTGTTGTGGATGGCCATGTCCAACAGCCGAGGAGTGATGCGCTGGCTGCCGTTGTTGTGGGCCTCGATGCCCGCCAGCTCCAGCACCTTGGCCGTCAGGAACTCGAGGGTGGCGGCCAGGAAGAGCGGTGCAGACCAGCCCAGGCGCTGGGCGTAGTGGCCCTCCCGCAGAAGCTGCTCCACCTGGCTCACGGAGAAGGTCAGCTCGGCTCGGGCGGAGTGGGAGCGGGAGCGGGCCCGCTGGCGACGGCGGCGACGGGGGCGGCGACAGCGGCGGCGGGAGGATGACGACCGTCGACGGCTCCCACCTCCTGGCATGCTCTGCGAGATGATGGCAGTGACGACTTGGCCGCTGGCTTTTCCGCTTCACTGGGCCTCCTTCGAAGCCACCAGCCCGTGCCGCTCAGGCAGTGGCTCTCGGTAGCCTAGCAACCAGGGCGCACTTCCGGTGGCCTGGCCACGTGCACTTCCGGTGGCCTGGCCACGTGCACTTCCGGTGGCGTTCCTGTGCGCGGCCTGGGCGATGGCCGGCCCCTGGGAGGCCGTGCGCCGTTGGGTCACGGGATGGCCACGCGGTGGCAGCGAGGGAAGAGCCAACTCATCTCTGCCTGAGAACTCTCACGTTCCACGGGGCCGAAGGCTTCTCGAGACATCAAGGGGTCCGGGCAAGAGGGGAGCAAACTCGGTGGCGTGAAGGAGAACCGCAGTGTGGTGCTACCGTCTAGTTCCAACACACTCCACAGAAGCCCCGGTAGCCATGAGAACTCACTCTCCATCACCCCTTTCTCCTTGTCTGCTCCTGCTGTCCCCTCTGCTGTTCTTCCCTCCTGCTCTGTCTGCCTCTTCACATCCTCCTCTTCTCCTCTTGCCCCCCTTCTCCACTCCCTTTAACTACCTCCTCCACCTTCTGTGTCACACACACACATATATATATACACACACACGTATACGTATATGTTAATGTACATATTTATACAGATATATCACCAACCTTAAATTTTTTGTCAGATCGTAATCATCTCCAATTTCACTCTAAATAATACAAGTACTTTTATAATCTCAAAGTCTTACCAGTCAGTTTTGCAGTTATAACCTTTCTCCTTTCTATGCTTTTTTTTTTGATTCATGCTCAGAGAGATGAGCTTGCTTGTTCACTATTCTTCTGTTGTCTCTTATTATTTTAGTGAGGGCTCTGAGTGTTCAACCAGCTCACTCTTTGTTCAAGAGTATCTACTGCAATTTTGTCATTGCTATTAGCTTTTGTGGTTGACCCTGGCAGTTTTGCTTATCTCTCTTAACATTTTGCACATGCTCTATGTTACTTTCTGAACAGTCTCTTAGCTCAGTCTTTCCGCTCACTTGAAACAGATGAGTCTCCTTAAAATCCCGTTGTGTGAGATAGTCTTCCATCTGCTGGTTCACCCCTCAAGATGGGGCTTGGGATAATGCAGGCTGGAGCCAGGAGCCAGGAGTTTCATCCAGGCCTCCCACGTGGGTACAGGGGTCCGAACACTGGGAGCATCATCAGGGAGCTGCATGAGAAGTGGAGCAGCCAGCACTCGAGTTAGTGCCCGTAGGTGGGATGCTGGAATCACAGGTGGTGGCTTAACCCACTGCAGCACAACACTGAGCCAACTTAGGGATTTATTGTACAAAGCTACAACTTCAAGACTTCCTGAGAGGTCTGAATTGTAATTGTATCTCTCCCAAAGAGGCTGTCTGTTTACTTCTGCAGGGAGACCTAGGGCTAATATATGGCTGCCTGGTGTTGTCTTTATATTATGTTGTGAGCTTGGAGTTTTCTGGGTAAATAAGAGACACTAATTCCATCTCAAGGCTTGTATGACAATAGCCTTAAAATTTGAAATGATCAAGGGAAGCATTTTATTTTCCACTGTCAGAACCCCTGAAGAGAAAACCTCTCTGTTGTCATCTTCCTGAGGTGGTAGAAGATGTGGGTGTTTTGTTTGTTTTGCTTGGTTTTGTTTTTGTTTGCTTTCTTTTTTCCCCTACTCCATATTCTCATTGACAGTGTGTTCTTGTTGTGAGGTACCAATGCTTTTCTTCTCTTCCTAAAGGTTATAAAATCCATTGCTCTACTTGCCTAACATAAATTCTAATGTCCATTGATCTGGTCTTCAGGTTCCTTTTTGTTTGTTTGTTTGGCTTTTGTTGTTGTTACTGTTGTTTGGATGTCTGAGGGCCAGCTTCACCACAAGACTCATCATACATTCATTAAAGGGGATATTTATTAAGTCTTTAGCAGACAGGTCTCGGGTTATCTGGACCTTGAGAGCTTGTTTGGAGGTTTTAGCAGGGGAGAGCAGCTACTCGTATACCCTTGACCGAAGACCTCCTCTAGCGGGGATGGTCGTCCTCTTCGACCCAGCGTGCAGCTTCGGGAGGGACGCACATGGAGTGGTGAGGGAGGAAGGGGACACCTGCCTAGCCAGCCAGATCAGCTGAATCAAGCCTGGCGATCAAGGTCGCCACCAGATTGCCCTCACATCCGAGGTCTCAGGTTATCTGTTGTATGCTATTTCCATAAAAGAAAGTTATTTTCCCCTTTATAATTCGTACAGCACTGAGAAGCTCCCAGAAAGTATCTGGAAGGGGTATGTGATGGTGAGGAATACTTTTCATGAACACTCATGATTCAAAAACTATTGGTGCTAGATATCTGGTGGAGATGGGTTTGTAGGTTGAAAGTGGCTTAGTTGATCAGAGCTACATGTCACAGGAGAATAACAGGAAAAAGAAAAGGACTGGCCTTACAAAATGCTTTCTTTATGAATTGTTCTGGCTTATGATCAGAAGTGGAAATGTGTGAAGAACCACTGTGATAATGGCAATCCTACCCCCCTGCAAATGGTAGGGCATGGCTTCTTTGAGTGCGCTTGTTTCCTGGAACCACTTAAAAGCAATACTGAAGGCTTCAGAAGAGTCTGGGAATGACACTCAAAATACGCCTGTATCTAATAACCAGATGTAGCTCTTCCCTACTACCCAGAGAACTAGTCTTTGTGTATACTTGGAAAGGAAATGCGTTGATACTATGCTTTATTTAGAAAATGAAAAGGGAGTTAGGAGTTATGTGACAACTTTTGATATCACAGAATAGGAATGATAACAAGAATGGCCACTCTACTAAATCCCAGATAGGAGTAACCAATTGTCTCTTGGGTATTTCCACTCAGGGTTTCATGTGCCCTCAAACTCAGAGATAGAGCCAAGGCTAAGAACAGCATCTTCTCTCCAAGCTCTCTCCTAATATTCCTCGTGTGGAACTGTATCGTGAAAAATAAAAATATTTTTAAAATTAACAATAAAGAAATGAAATACCATAGAAACATAAAAAAATAATGTAAATATTTTATCTTTCTTTTAAGATGTTGCTGGACAAACCATGATAGTGAGCATGATGATTATTGTGGCTGAATGCTCAGATGGACTGTGAGTACGTGGGAAGGATGAGGGAGCTAACACTTACTGAACACTATGGCATACTGGTTCAAAACACTGTCCCGGGAGCCAGATCATACGGATTCTAAACCAAATACCAACTTGTGATCTGGTGCAAGCCACTAAATCGTCCCTTGTCCCTGTTTTATCCCTTTGTGGGGAGATAAAAGGGCTTAGAACAGTGTCCAGCACATAGAAACCACCATGTAAGAGTTACCTGTTACTATTGATCATCAATATGTGCTGCATTTTCTTTCCTAATCAGCATGTTGTTAGAAAACCCTTTTGTAGTAAGTATTTTCCTTCCTGTGCCTGTATGATGAATCTTAAGCAATGAGAGGGCAAACAAAATGACCAAAGTCACGAACTACACAGTCAGAACCTACCTTTAGCTGCTGCCTAGTGCAAGGCTTTCATTTCACTGAAGCGCCAACTGAAACTCAAAACCAAAGAGGACCTCATTTCAAGTCAGCTAGTGAGTCCATCCCAGAAAGTGGCCAAGAACTCAGCAACAGGGCTCTTTCCTTTGAAGCTTCTCAGACTTTGGTATGTATCAGAACTCTCCAGAGGGCTTTCTTTTATTATTATTATTTTTTAAATTACATTGCATTATGCGACACTGTTTCATAGGCTCTAGGATTCCCCTAACCCATCTCCACACCCCCCCCCCTTGGTGGATTCCTCCACCATGGTGCAGTATTACAGTTCAAATTCAGTCAAGACTCTTTCATTGCAAGCATAGAGTCCAGCATCTTATTGTCCAGATAAATTCAATGGTTTCTTGGGGAGACCATCTCTGGTCTGAAGGCAGAGCTGGCAGAGTATCATCCGATCAATTAAAATTCACAACATAACATCAACAACAATTTACAACATTATGGAATTAATTGACATGGTATTGAGTAACAAATATGTTAAAAAATGCAAGTTCTTAACCACATCCTGTGACTACTTCATTGACATTTCAATTTTAGTTTCTGCACAGAACCAGCTGCTATACACCTTAAAATGGCTATAGGGTGCTATTCAGCTGTCTCGTGTCTTTTCATTTTAGTATTTAGCATTTATAGTGTTGAAGTATAATTTTGCTGAACTTGGCAGATTTTAGGATAGTCTAAACTGGCTTATAACTCTAACAAGGCATATGTCAACAGTTGAGGTGCAGAACAGTTTTAGGAGGGGTGTGCAGAGAAATCTTCAATACCCCAGTGAGGAGTAACTAATCTTTGTGTCCTACCTAGTAAGGTATGTGTGAGTCCATGCTGACCGTTTCCTGTCTGGTTCTAAGCTTTCCTTGTTGTTCTCTGTCTAATCTATTCGTGTGTGTATGTGTGTGTGTGTGTGTTTTGGGGTGGGGGGGCTCTGGAGCGACCCTGATGGTCATTGAAAGAGAGGGTGGGGATCCAAAGTTGGAACTAAGTAAGGACCAGAGAAAGCTCCTCTCCCTAGTCCCAAAGGAAGTTTGCTGTTCTTCTGTTTCTGAGGACCACTCAGGGCTCCTGGCTGTTGTTCCGATGACCTTGGATCCTGCAAGGAAAGATTTGGGCTTCTTCCATCCCATGTGGGAGATCCAAGTGGGAGTGGGTGACCTCAGAGTTCTTGGCCTCCGAAGGCACTCCAGTTCCCCGTGATCTCCTAGCAGTTGGGATGTATTCCTTGGTGCTCATACTGATAGCCCTTGGTGAGGATCCAGGAGTCTCCAGGGTTGGGATACAAGCCTCCTCCTGTCCACCTGCTCCATTCTGGGGTCCCCCCTTGCTCTGTGCACATGACCTCCTGTTAAGAGGTTGTCAGGATTGCTCCTGATTCCCCCTATATGATTTTGTAGTTTTACTATTGTCTAATGCTGATTTGAGTCTGTGGTCTATAACTTATCTGTTATGTTCCTGATACATTATACTTCATGTCTTCCTCACACATTCTAAGGAGATGGAAGATTTCTCTGCTCTCCCAGCCCCATTTCTGAGTAGCATAGGGTCTTAAAATTATATTAGGTTTTAAAAGTCTTTGATGTAGATCATAAGCTGTCTGACTCACATTGATTGTTGGCTCATTGGTTACTTCAAAAATCTTATTGCATGAGATACAGGCTGTTTGGGGTTGAAATAATATTACAGTTTACAGGTACTGTTTTTCGGATTGACATCATTTCATCTTAAATTAAGGCAAACATGTGGTATCTAACCTTTTGGGATTGGCTCATTTCCCTTAACAGAGGGCTTTCTGAATCTAACCACTGCGGTCCCACTCGCAAAGTTTCTGGGATGGAAACTAAACATTTGCGTTCCAAGATATTTTCAAAGAAGGCTGATGCTGCTGGTCTAGGGAGCTTACTTGGGGAACCACCACAGCACATCACAGTCCATACATCTTTCTTCCTCTTCAACATGGGCAACACAGTTAGTGATACACAAACATTTTTGAAAGAAATGGGAACCACTGATGAAGACGATGGAACAATGCTCAGCCAGCAGCAAAAAGATAATGTCAGTGGCCATCAGTCCCAGTTTGTGTGAAACCGCCAGTTTTAATACAGGAAGTTCCCTGGTCCACAGAAAAACCTCAATCCCAAGCAAGTTGGGATGATTGGTCACTCTAGATAAAGATGAACAATCTTTAGTACCAGTTAACTGCCAGCCACAAAAGGGCACATGTACAGAGAATATGTTATTCCTGCCGAGTTTGTTTGAAAGGGATTCATTCATTTCTTCTTCTTGCAGCAGTCCCACATTATGAAAGTACTGTTAGTAGGGCACACTGTTGGGTGCTGTGTTTCTGAATGCCCCAATCCTATGGTATCACACCACAGGAAAACGCAAGTGTGACTCAACTGCGAGCTTTGTAGACAGACTCCACTTATACAAGAGTATTTCAAAATGCTGTGGAAACAAATGGAATTAAAAGATGATGCACATTTTCCACAAGCTTTCCTCATGTGCTTGGGGACACTTGCAAGAGATGGAAAAAATAGGCATCTCACATGGAAGGTTTTGGATGCACCATGCATGATCACCACTCAAATAATTCCTTTCCCTCTTACTTCCTCTGAAGGGAGTACATTTTTGAAGCAGATCAATTAAAAAAGTTATGAGGAGATTGAAATAACTATTTCACTAATAAGTCAGGGAAAGCAGAATATGGTGTGAGTTCTCCAGAAAGGGGTGGGGGGGTAGGACTGAAGGACTCCTGCCTTTATCCTTCCTTATCATTCGAGGGCCTTTGCCATCAGTATATGCTGGCTTTGGTTACATTCAATTTATGAAAAACTAAAAAAAAAAAAAAAGAAGCAAAATGTACTGAAGAAGACTGACAGTGACATATTGTAAGAGGATATAATAGTAGAGACAGAATTTTTTCATAGTAAAAAGCTGTTACTTCTGATCTAATTGCTAAAGGGTGTAACTCAAACTTCTTGATCAATCCTCTGACCTAGGAGGAAAATGAATTTCATGGAAGACCCCTAAATATTCCTATATAGTACAAATAAAATTCAAAAAAATACTTTGAGGACACATTTTACAGCAGCACTGAGTGGTTCAACTATCATATGTGACATCAGATTAGGCTCTATGCACTGTCAGAATGCAAACATTTCTCTGCTTTATGACACCTATGTCCATGGTTTTCTTTTTCTCTTGAGTGTGTGCATCTTTCAGGGTTTTTCACCATTCGACAGTGTTTATGTGGTTATTGTATGGCTTCGCTTTTAGTGAGAGCTGACGTGGGAAGAAATTGGGGTGGAAATCTATAACTCCTTTCTCTTCCCTGTCTCCCTCTCCCCTGCAACACATAAAATGATACATTTTTAAAAATAGGAGAAGCAAGGTATTGCATTTGATTCGGTCAAACCTTACCAATTAACATGCATATTTTAAGAGTGGGCTGAAAATTAAAAAATGATCAACAGAAATAGAGGGAAATAGGTTGCACCCTATTGTATAATCAGATCGCCAAAATGTAAGTATGGATAATTTCAAGTTTTCTGGAGGCACATTACAATGCATATGTCCTTAAACAATCTTACAGATTAACCTTTTGTATTCTGTCTTGATGCACATCAGGGGCCAGGGTGACAGGGACAGGTGGGGTAGCTCTGTTGTGTGTGTAAAGGTCTATGTGAAGACTTAGCATACAGATGCTCCAAAGTCTCTGAAAATGTTCTGCAATTGTCCATCACGTAATTACCAAACTGATTGTTCATAGCAACTGTTGTGGCTCACCTAACTCCTTGAGAGATGATTTGGATGGAAATAACTTTCCAGGAGATAAAACATTATAGTTGACACTGTAGTTGAATTCAGTTTTTGCATCATTGAGCTTGTGCTACCAAGCAATTGCTACAGTGTCTGCAGCTCTAGGAGACTCTAGAGGAAACATCTAGGGTTTCTTGTAAACCCTTTCATCCACAGGCCTGTGTACATGCCTGTCCAAGATGTTTTCTGGATCATCAGTTCTCAAAAAATATGGCCCCTGGAGGGCTCCCTAATGGGTCTGTATGTTACAAGCCATTTTTAGAATAACACTAAGATGGCACCTTCTTTTTTCACTCTTACCATGTCAGTGCATGTACAGAGGACTTTTCCAGAGGTTACATGGTGTGTGATAATGTATTGTCTGTCTGGTAGCTGAGGGAGGTATTCTTCTGTGTTCTTGGGTTTTAAACATTTCTGTCAATATAATAAGTGTCAATAGTTATAACCCACACCCGAGCACTCTTTGAGGTCCTCAATAGCTATTGGTAGTGGTAAGGTGTCCAAGATCACCAAATTTGCATATTGCTCATTTATGAACATACTGTCATTTTTAGAATTGATTTCCTTCTAACAGTTCTAATGGCTGCTATTGATCTGCAAATATGAAGAGTGTGTTTCTGAAGCAGACTGGTTAGTATTATATGCAAAGACTTAAAAAAACAACCAAACAAGTGGGCCATGTTACATGTTAGGGACGAAAGCTGCCACACTAGATAGCTGACAGCAGGCTATTCTGAGCACCCCACCCCTCAACAGGTTTCCCTTCCCAGAGATAGGGGCAGCTTCTGTGTTGTGAGGTGAGACAGAGACAATCTGAAGTAGGTTTCTAGCACAATTACTATTCTGCTTATGTGAGATTCTGGTAACCAGAGTGCCAGGTGTATTCTTAATCACAATGCTGTCGCTGTTAAGCCTGAAGCCCCAAGAGGCGAGCAGTGTTTAGGACATCATCTCTAGTTAAATAACAGCCACAGAGTTGGCGGTAGCCAGTGAAGGATTCTCTGCCATGTAGGACACGCCAGTTGTCTATAAATAGGACCTGTGAATGGGTGAAAAGAGAGAAACACCATCAGAAGGGACCATTTACAAGAAAAGTTTCCAGTTATTCTCTGGTTTCATTCTTTCTCACAATTAAACAGAGCTTTGGAAACTAATGTGCATATCATCATGAGGTAGACCAAATGGAAGTTATAACAGCTGTAGTGGGTAACAGCCCCTCTACTTGAGGAGCTCATATTTCTTGAGTAACTGTTCTCCTTATCAAAGCAAATCAGGTAATTGGTTTATTTTTCTCTTTTTTGCCTCTTTAATTCTCATTCTATACTTTCTCAAAGGGGATACACTATCCTCTTGTGTTTTATGCTAAGCTAAAGATATTCCTCATGCAGAGGAAATATCCAGATTCTTAAAAATGGAGTCATGAAGCTGGAAGTACCTTTAGAGATTGTCAAGCTAAAACCCCTCACATACAGATAGAGACACTGATGCCTAGAGGTGGTACAGGGTCAGTTTCCTGGTCATTCAGAGAGTAACAGGATCATAACACCCGGAACTCTTTTCCATGTCTCCTTTGCAATGTTGTGAGACATGCTAAGTAAGTATCATTTCTGCAGTGCTTCAGTTTATCAAGCTTATTTGCCATCTCTTGAGTTTAGGACCTACCCTGCCAGGCTTCAGTTTGACCCAAAATTCATTCTCAGGTCTCCTCAACTCTTTTGTTAGAGTGCGGTGTGCAGTATACCAACGATGGACAACATCATAAGGTACAGTATTGATGACAGCCCGGTCATAGTTGTTGTACCTGATGCAGAATCAGGAGAAAGAAAGATCTCAAAGACATGATCAAGGCACCTGTTGTTTCTTGAACAATTTTATATACGGCCTTCTCTATGTTTGCTATTTGTCCCAAAGTTGAAGTGACAGTGAGTCAACATCCTCTCAGGAATACAGGGTGAGAGAGGGGAGCCCCAGGGCATGTTGATCCTATATTGCTTTTCTTTGGAGACTGGCTAGGGGATGCAAGTTAAGCTCTAGCTGGTGTCCACTCAGCCTATGATGTTTAGTCTAAAGTTCCATCCAATGGACTCAGTCCATATTGTTCAAAGCACTCTGGGCAAAGAACTGAGCTTGCTCCTCACCGAGCTGAGCCGGGCAAGAGAGGTTATACTAAAGGGGGTTTCTTTTTTGACAGAAGGGTTTATAAATGCTCAAAAAGTGTATCTTCCTTTGTGGAATGAATCCCAGCGGTAGCCTAGCTGATAGTTTACCCAGGAATCTTCACCCATTCATTCAATCCTAACATTTATATTAGCATCTGCTGTATGATGGGCAGTATGTTAGATAATAAACATACAGTGATGAGTGCAACAGGCATTATCCTAGACTTTGGGCAGCTTTCATTCTATTGAGGAAGACAGATGATAGAGAAGTAATGAATACATAAACAACAACATAACTTCAGCCATAAAGAAAAAGGCCATATTGTGTGTTTATGAATGTGTAGGAAATCTGTTTCAGATGGAGTGTTGAGCAAAGGGCTTTCTGGTGAAGTGATGTTGGGCTGGTACTTGTACGATAAGAAACCGGCAATATGACCAGCTGAGAGAGGAGTATTCCTGGCAGAGGTAACACCAGCTACAGAGTCATGGGGTTGAACGGCGTTTCATTGTGTTTTCAAAACAGCAAAAAGGTTATGGGTGGATCTGAGAAAGTGAAGGTAACAGTAGAACAAATGAGGTGCAGGAACCGTCGAGGGAGCTGATCATCTGTGAACATGCAGGCCATGCTAAGGACTTTAGATTTTATTCTGGGTGCCATGGGAAGCCACTGGATAGTCTGGGCTAAGATAATGGATTTCTGGATTTTTCTCCTCGGGCAAATTCACCTTTTTTTTTTTTAATGTATGTATGTATTAGCTTTCCTGAAGTGGCAGGAGAGTAACAGAAAATTACACACATCACAAACTGGATGAATTTCCATGCTGTGGTCACATTCATGCTACTGGCACCCAGCTTAACACATAAGAATTATCAGAACTCCAGAACTCTCCCTTGTGCCCCTTTCCATTACACCCTTTCCCTCAGCCAAGGATAACTACCATCCTTCTATCACCACAGACATCAGTCAGAAGATACTCTTTGGTATCTGACTTCCTTCATTTAGTATTAATTTTAGGAGCTTCATCACTACTTAGTCATATCTTAATTCCTTCTTGGTGCTGTGTGTGAGTACATCACAATTTAATCATCCATTTCACCACTGATGAACACTTAAGTGGTTTCCAGCTCATACCTGTTAAAGAGAGTGAGCATTCCATTACATGTCTTTTGGTGAATGTATGAAGGCCACCCACACAGTTCATGGGAAATTTGAATTAAAAGATAAGTTTACTTTGGTGCAAAAAACCCTTGAAATCCACACATGGTCTTCCTCATAGTATGCATTTCACATGAAAATTTTTGAAGTATTCTCATATGCATTCATTTCTGCTTGGTATAAGCTTAAGAATGGAACTTCTGGGTGGTAATGTATGCACATGCTCAGCTTCAACAGATACTGCCAAAAGATATTCTTTTAGAAGAGAAATGGGCATCCAATGGTGTCCTTCTTGGACAATGGGCAGTATTTATTATGGGTAACTATGTAGCATAACCAGAGCCATGTTTAGTCTTAGTTTTTTTATACATAAAATGAAATGAATGAAAATAGTATAACTTTCACTTAGTTTGCAAGGTTCCTGTGACAGCCAGAGGGAAGAATATAACATCCTTCCTCCCAGAACTGGAAGAGCAATATTTAGAGGGAGAGTAGCGTGAGAAAGTACAACCTTCACCAGGGTCATCTTCTTCTCTTCTCTTCTCTTCCCTTCCCTTTCCTTCCCTTCCCTTCCCTTTTCCTTCCCTCCTCTCTCCTCCTTTCCTCTCTCCTCTCTCCTCGTTTCCAAACCTCTCCAACCCCCTTCTCTTCTTTTCTCTTCTTTTCAGTTAACTTATTTGTTTGAAAGTCAAAGTTACAGAAGGAGAGGGAGAGACACAGAAATAGGTCTTCCACCTCTCAGTTTATTCTCCACATGACCCAACAGACAGGGCTGGGCAAGGCTGAAGTCGGGAACTAGGAACTTCACCTGGGTTTCCCACATGGGAGAAGGGGTCCAAAGACTTGTGCTATCTTCCACTGCTTTTCCAGATGTATTAGCAAGGAGCTGCATTAGAACTAGAGCAGCCAGGTCTCGAATGGGTGCCCATATGGGATGCTGACACTGCAGGTAGTCACTTAACTCACTATGCCACAGCACCAGCCCTCTTACCAGGGTCCTCACATCCATTGTCAGTTCCAGAAACTTCCAGTGCTGATTAAGCATTTGTGCAAATATTTCTTACATTTACATCTTTCATCAACACAAAAGGGGAGGTGTTATTAACATCCTTTTATGTGTAAGGCAGCTGAAACTTGGAGAGGTCAAACCTGTCACAGAATTTATGAGTAGCAAAGAATAGTTTCTAACATATTGTCTACTCAATACTATGTCAATTAATTCCATGACACTGTATATTGTTGCTGATGTTTTGTTGGGGCTTTTAACTGACCGGGACTTTACTCTGCTAGCTCCGCCATCAGATCAGGGAGGGTCGCCCCAAGTGGCCACTGGGCTTGTCTGGACAATAGGATGCTGGACTTTATGCTGGGTATATGCTTGCAACGAAGGAATCTCAACTGAACTTGAACTGTGGTTATGCAGCAAGGTGGAGGAATCCACCATGGGGGGAGGGTTGTGGGAGGGGTGGGGGGAATCCCAGTACCTATAAAACTGTTTCACATAATACAATGTTACTAACAATAAAAAAAAAAAAGAAAAGAAAATCTTCTAGCTTGGTATGAACTAGACAACAATTTGAATATGAATAAAACACTTTGTTTTGTTTAAGTAAAAAAAAAAAGAAAAGAAAATTCATGATTCCTGTGTGTACCTGTTCAAAAGGCCAACATTTTCCAGATCATAATTTCTTATATAGTTCAAAACAGTTATTTGTTTTCATTTGAAAGGCAGATTTTACAAAGAAGGAGTGATAGAGAGAAGATCTTCCATCTGCTGGTTCACTCCCCAGATGGCCACAATGGCCAGAGCTGACCCAACCTGATGCCAGGAGCTTCTTCTAGGCCTATCACGCAGGTGCAGGATCCCAAGGAATTGGGCCACCCCACAGTGCTTTCCCAGGACATAAGTAAGGAGCTGGATGAGAAGTGGAGCAGCCAAGACACAAACCGACACCCATATGGGATGACAGCACTGCAGGGCAGAGGATCAGCCTGCTGCACCACTGCACCGCCTTCCACCCCTAGACCATAATGGACTTGAAATAGACCCTTAGATGATGCTATTTTCTAAGACCAGTAGTAGGAAGCAAGCAAAATCTGTTGCAGATTAGCTAAATGGATATGCAAGTTTCTTTTGATTAGACTGAGACTATTTCTGGACTTTGGCACAGAATGATGTCAAATAATTATGTAATTTTTCTTTTTTCCTGCTTTGACATGAAGCGTGACTGGCCTGGAAGTAAGGGAAAGAAAATAAAGCAGGCATTTATCTGCCAAGAAAATCTAGGGAGGTATAATCAAGCTATCCCACTCTTCAGCTGACCAATCCCAACTAAAGATTTTCCAATTAAAGAGCTCAGTGACTGAATGGAAGGCACAGCTGATGGATTTGCCTAATGTGATGTAAGCAAAAGATGATAGGCACTGTCTGTATAGCCAGATAGAACATCATTATAAATACAGTTCACATGTATGACCTTGGAGGAGCTCTTTGATCTATCGGAGTCTCAGTTCCTTCAGCTGAAATCTCAGAGTAATAAGTAACCATTTTACCGAGTTGTTAGGAACATTACACTATACATGATACACTGGTGCTGTGCCTAACACACAGGAGACTGGGTCTGGTGCGGTGGCTCGGTGGCTAAATCCTCACCTTCCACATGCTGGGATCCCCTATTGGTGCCAGTTTGTACCCCAGATGCTTCACTTCCTTTCCAGCTCCCTGCTTGTGGACTGGGGAAGCAGTCAAGGATGGCCCAAAGCCTGGGACCCTGGCACCCATGTGGGAGACCCAGAAGTTCCTAGCTCTTGGCTTCAGATCGGCACAGCCCTGGCTATTGTGGTCACTTGGGGAGTGAACCAGCAGATGGAAGATCTTTCTCTCTATATTTCCTTCTCTCTGTAAGTATACCTTTCAAATTAAAATAAGTAAATCTTTAAAAAAGAAAAAACCCACAAGAGATCAATAATGTTAGATAAAATACATCTCAAGCCAAAAGTGCAAGCCCTAGAAACCAGGAACATCTTCACAGTGCATTAGTTATACTCAAACTTGGAGAATAAGGTTAGACTAAACTTTGAATAATAAAGTTAAAGAACAGGGAGATACATATAACTATTTCCACGTTCACACCCCTCCCTTTTTAATTTTTGCTAACATGTGCAATAGGTTTTCAAGTGTTTTTGTGAAGTCATTGTGCTTTACCATTACAACATCCCATTTATTGAAAAAGCCTACCTATATACAAAGTGTGCAATATTTTTTAATAAAAGTAACTTTATGTTTAAAGACTTATTTATTTTTTTTTAATTTTTCACATTTTATTATTGGTATCATTTTATGATACAGTTCCATATTCCCTTATCCCCCTCCCAATTCCCCCCCCCCCAGTTCCTTTATATCATTACTAACATATAGTTCATCATTGCGGGCATGGACAATGGCAGAGAGTCCAGAATCCTATTGTCAAAATATAATATAAACAG